CCTCTCTCTCATTTCCACAAGAAGGGCCTTTCTCTTCTCTAGGAAGATCTTTCTGTAGTTGCCAGTTGTTTCTGGCCTTCCAGCCCTCCTAGTGACCTTCTCCTCGAACCTTTCCAAGTCGATCTCCCCATCGGGTTTTCTGGGGATGTCCCATTTCCCTTCATTGGGCTCCTTCCCTTTTCCCCCCTCCTTCGAGGAGACTGATTCAGATGAGGATGAGGATCCTATCGTCATCTTTTCTGGTGATCCCGACCTTGACCTGGATCTGGATCTGGAGGGATTCCCATTCCTTTCCTCGCGCCGACTTGCACTGCGGAGTCCCTCCCTTCTTACTGATCGGCTGGTGCTGGGCCGTTCCTCCAATACCGTCTCACCCTCCTCCCTTTCAAGGCCTCTCTGGGCCTTTGGTTCACTCATGTCCGTGTGACATGCCAGGGTCTTGTTTCCATGTTCCAGGTCCATTTGTTCAATAATAAAGGGTTCGTTCATTTTGATTTGACACCTACCACTACTTGTACTGACGTGCCTGCATCCCCCCGGAAAAGGGGGAAGCCTCCGAGTTCCCCCGGAGGAGCAGCATATAACTCGGGCCGATGGAATGGTCATCACCGGCACAGGCCTCCCGCCCCTTACACGCGCCCTGACCATCATTTCTGGTGGCCAGGCCGCTTTCGGGGGTCCCACACCTCCGACAATGTGAGCACCGTACGAAGCGCTGCCACTCGGGGGCCCCATGGAAGGAGATAGGTCACCGGTGTCGCACCCCACCGGGAGCGCCCCCCCCATGGCAGCCAGCGTGCTCGCGCCGCCCGAGGGTCCGCTTTAGGGCGATGCGATCGCATTCCCTCGGGCACAGCACACAGGTGTTCCGGCCCCGCCTCGGAATACGCCCGAGCGGCCCGGAACACACCTCCACCCCCCGGGTACCATGAAGGGTTCCAAACCCTCATGGTGTGCAGACCCGGGTGTGGGTTCCTCCCTCCGCCCGGCCGTAACCTGGACGGATGAGGGAGAGGTCCACTCCCTTCAGCTGCCGGAGCACCGGAGTGCAATGCCTCCAGGAATGGTCCTCTAGGTGGCGCTAAAGGGTGTCTCGACCCCGACCTCGGAATACATCCGAGCGGCCCGGGACACCCCTCCACCCCCCGGGTACCATGGAGGTAATTCCCCATGGTGTACAGACCCGGGTATGGGGTCCTCCACCCGCCCAGCCATGGTTGGACGGATGAGGGAGAGAGGTCTTCCCCTTATCGGCTGCCGTAGCACCGGCGTGCAATGCCTCCAAGGGTGGGATCTCCCAGGACGTGGTAGGGCACTCCCCGGCCCCGACCTCGGAAACGTCCGAGCAGCCCGGAGTACCCCTCCGCATCTCAGGCACCATGGGTGGGGGATCCCCATGGGGTGGAGCCCTGGGTGCGGGTACGTCTCTCCAACTCCGACCTGTCCATAACGGACAGATTGGGGCGGGTAAGGAGGGGGTCCTCTCTCTTCGGCTGCCGGAACATCGGCATGCAATGCCTCAGAGAGAAGGGTCCCCTTCCTGAAGTGCGTGCTGAGGAGGTCTCCCCTATCGGTTGCCGGAGCACCGGCGTGCAATGCCTCCAGGGGTGATAGTCTCCTCCCATTCGCTTCATGACCAGTCTGGTCATAGACCAGGCTGATCGGCCAGTCCGGTCAGGTTCTCTTGATCCAGTCCCTCTGTGCAGACCACTCCTGCATGGTAGAACTTGTCAGGGGCCGAAACCCTCGCCGGTACAGCTCTGTACATCATTGGGACCTTCAAGCCTTCCCACCACGACAAGGTGGCACCCACGGGGGGATGTTGGATTTCCCCTGCGTTACCAAGAAAAAAGGGTATTGATTTTTATAAACCTTTTTTTTATTTTTACGAGGAGGAAATCCATCATGGGTACCCTGACCTTCGGGGAAGGGCCAGGGTTATGCCGGAATTTTACCGGCTAAAACCTCTCCGGGTGGCGCTGCGAAGGGACTTGGATCGGGGCTCCGGTGCCTGCGTAACTGCGAATCGGGGCTCCGAGTACAGATGACTTCATCGTCTTGCCCGAGGTGGGTGGGGGAAGGGGGAAGCGAGCCATAGCTCATCTTCGACCGCCGCTCCCCTAGGGGGAGGGGGGAAGTAAGCCGAAACCTGTTTCAACCACCGCTCCCCCTTCCGCCCTCACGCCCCACCTCTGTGGCTGGGAAAGGGGAAGCCGGCAACGCCTGCGCTTCAACCACCGTTCCCAGCCAGGCGGGGGCCGCCAATGTGATGATGATGTGCGGCCGGTTGATCCACCTTCTCAACCGGCCGCCCTTAGTTTGGAGGGAGTTGCTGGGGTGCTGGTAATTCCCGCCCAGCACCCCACCCTCCTGCCCGGCGGTTACGGAGGGAAAAAACTGATCCCCTAGCCACCAGGCACTCCCGCTTCCTTTCCAGGAGGCTGGGTGAGGGGTCAAAGACCCCTCCTTACATGTCCATCTCATATGGGCCTTGAGTAGGGGGAAGAGGTGATTTACTGGTGGGGTGGTGACACTTCCGCCTCACATTCTCTCCCCTTAACCTCATCCGACCCCTTTTTCAGGGCCGTATGCGAGTAGGGGGTGTTTTTCAACCCCCCCTCATTCTTCCCGCTGCAGGCGCAGGAGGCGAAAGCGGGGCTGTCACCTTTTATTTGACGGGTCTTCCCGCTGTCCCGTCACGGCTTGCTGCCCCGGGAGGCTTCTCGGCGTCGTTTCGGGTGGTGGCGGGGGAGGGGGAGCAGGTTGGGGGCGGGGATGGTGGACCCACCATCCTCCTCAATTCGTCTTCCTCTGAGGAATCGATGTCCCCCTCCCTGCTCCTGCTCCTATCCCCCCTCCATAATCAGTGCCGTCCTCTCCTTCTTCTCCTTCTGTCCCGACCCTCCGCCTCTCGGCGGCCTTCCTCTGTGACTTTCTTCTGCGAAATCACAGTCTCGCAGAAGGAGACGAACACCCCCCCATTTTCTCTCGCTCCCCACTATTGCCCCAACTATCGTGGGGAGACTCTTACTGACTAAAACTCCTGCGGGATGTCTACTGATCGGGCCGAAGTGGGGGGAGTCAGGGAAACTGCGCCAGCATTCCCTCCCCGACACTCCGGCTCCAGGGCTCTTACCGAGAGCCCCACGCCCTTTCACCGCACCCCTTTCTTCATGAAGAAGTCAGGGGCGCGGTAGCCCGGTCGTTGTTGACCGAGTTGGCCTTCCGGTTCCTTACGGAGAGAGGGGACATCCACCCTCTCCCCACGCCCCGCCTTCAGACTTGAAGTTCTATGAAGGGAGGGGCAAGAGAGTGAGGCCCGTCCCCAAACGGGCACTCACTCCCCTTCCCTACCAATACCGACGGTTGGGGAGGCGAGAGGGGCTTCACCCCTCTCCCGTCGCCCCTTCTCCGCGCGTCCGAAGTCGGGCCCGAGGCGGCCGAGGAGGCCCCCGAGCACTCGGGGGCGGTTCCTCAGCCGGCGCCACCTCGGGCCCGCTGCCTATACCTGGGGAGCCCCGCCCTCTCCGCCTTCTCCTGCGAGGGCGGCCAGGGCGGCGCTCCCATTCGGCGGCCTCCTTCCGGGACATGACGTTCTTGCAGAAGGAGGCCGCCGCCCCCCATGCCTCCTCGCTTCCGCACATGGTCCGAACCATGCGTGGGAGCGAGAGAGCCTCCACCCGGCACCCCACCGCCCGAGCCAGGACCCGGCGCTGCCCACTCCAGGCCTCGCACGAAGTCCGAGTGTGCAGCGCCGTGTCCACAGGCTCCGGGCAGTGGTGGAATTCGGCGGTGGGTTCCTTTCCGATCCGGTGCAGGTACCGACCGGAACACCTGTGTCCGGTTAGCATCTGCACCAGATGGAAGGACAGCCCGCGCCCCCTCCTGTCCACCATTTCTAGCAGACAGGGCGGGCAGCCTCGGCCGTTTAGAGCCCGGGCACTCGCGGGTCGGCCAACTCAGCCGACCACTTCTTGAGTACCCGGGCTCTGGCCTGGGTTCTCAGGGCCGCCAGGTCCCTGGTCGTCAGTTTCCTCCGTTCTCGGAGCTCCTTGACCCGCCAATAGAGAGTGTGCCTCTCCTCGGCCAGGAGCTCCACTGGGGGAGAACCGACCAGGGAGGTCGCCGCCATATGTGATACGGTGCGGTAACCTTTGGCCGCCCTCACTGCCACAGGCCGCGTGGCCTGGCCAACAGGTTCCTGTTGCGGCCGATGGCTAGCAATCGAGGCGCCCCGTAGAGGGCGACCGAGTTCACAATACCCACATATAGGCGGGGAGCCCGCCGTCCAGGCCCTCGGCGATCGGAGCATGTCCGAAGTCACAAGGGGTGTAATGAACGGGTGCCTCAGGGACGGGGTCTTCCCCCTAGAGTGGAGGAGGTGGAGACCAAATTGGTCCTCCTCCCGAAGGTGAGCAAGACACCCGATGGACCGCCAGCCTACAGGCCGATTTGCCTGCTGGACGAGGCGGGCAAGATGCTCGAGCGCATCGTTGCGGATCGCCTCGTCCAGCATCTGTTCTCAAGTGGGCCGGACCTCCACAACAGGCAATACGGGTTCAGGCCCGGACGATCGACGCTGGACGCGATCCAGCACGTCCTGGACCTGACCCGGGACTTGTGCCGTCGTGGAGGAGAGGGGCGGGGTGTTGTTGGCGATATCGTTGGATATCACCAATGCCTTCAACATCTTGCCGTGGCCGGAGATTGGGCGGGCGCTCGAGCACCATCGAGTGCCTGCCTATCTCTGGCGCATCCTCGCGGCCTATTTTGGAGGCAGGGACCTCGCCTATCCGGTTCAAGGCGAGGTCCAGGGCTGACGGTTGATGGACCGCGGTGTCTAGCAGGGGTCCGTTTTGGGCCCCCTGCTATGGGACATCGCGTTCGACAGGGTGTTGTGTTCGCCCCTCCCCCCCGACTGCCACGTCATCTGCTACGCGAATGACACTCTGGTGGTTGCCGGGGGGGAGATCTGGCGGCAGGCCCGCCTCAATGCGGAGATGGCCCTGGCGACGGTGGCGGGCACTATTAGCGATCTGGATCTGAAGGTTGCGCCCCACAAGACGGAGGCCGTCTACTTCCACGACGGCAGCCGCGGGGCGCCACCGGAGAACCGACTCATGGTGGACGGAGTCCGCGTCCACGTCGGGCCCACGATAAAGTATCTGGACCTGACGTTGGACGGCCGGTGGGACTTCAGGGCCCACTTTAGGAACCTGGCCCCCCGGGTCAGGAAGGCAGCCCTGGCACTCGCCAGGCTGATGCAGATCCAGAGGGACCGGGTTGGCATGCTCGCCGCCTATACGTCGGAGTGGTCCTGTCGATCGCCCTCTATTGGGCGCCAATATGGGTGCCTCAGCTGCTGGCCACCGCCCAAGGCAAAAACCTCATGCGCCAGGCGCTGAGGGCGGTGGCCATGAGGGCGATCCGAGGGTTCCGCTCCGTGGCGTACATGGCGGCGACGACCCTGGTCGGCTCCCCCCCAGTGGAGCTCCTTGCGGAAGAAAGGTGCATCCTGTATTGGAGAAACAAGGAGTTCCGCGAAAGGGGGGAGGCAACGACCGGGGAGCTGAGGGCCCTGAGGTCTCAGGTGGTTGCCCGGACTCTGCAGCGGTGGAAGGACGCGATGTCCGCCCCGCAGGAGTTCGGGCGACTAACGACGACGGCCGTCCGCCCCTGCCTGGCGGAATTCGCGGAGGGGGTGGCAGGAGGGGGCGCGGACTCACGTTTCATCTGGTGCAGGTGATGACCGGCCTCCTCTTCCCTCGTTGGAGGAGAGAACGGCGTATCCTCCCCTCTAGTCACCGTACCTTCCCCTACTGGAGGTATCGGCACGGTCTTCCTTTCGTCCTTCGCAGAAGGAGGGCACTCTCAATCCCTCCATTGGTTCCCGGTCCAGCTGGCCTCTTCCTCGCCTGACTCCTCCTCTTCTCTCGGCTCGTCAGGGGCCTGCATGCCAGACCACCGATCTTGTGGTCCGCTCTCCTGCCCACGTCCGCACACACCGGGCAGTGAGCCATTGCTGCCTTACACTGTGTGGCACGATGGCTAGATAACAAATATCGCTGCGGTCGACGGCATTGTTGCACCGCCCGCGCACATGCCCCTGCTCCAGACACCTGTAACAGAAGGTCGCGCGAGCGGGCAACGCCGTCACCCCGACGCAGGTCCAGCTAATCCGGACCCGCTTTTCCGCAGCGGCCTTAGAGGCCGCTGCGGTCGGACACCGCACCACTACTGTGGCTGTTCCCCGCTGGGTAAAGTTAATCTCGCCCACGAACACCTCCGCGGACAAGCACCCCCCAACGAGGGCCATGGCGGCCGCCACCTCCTCGGTCCCTACCGTCAAATCTAGGCCGGTGAGACGCAACGACGTCATCATCACCGGCCTCTGGATTCGGTAGTCGGGGCCCTTCTCCGCCGCCAGCTTATGGAGCTCATCTGCAAGCCGGTCGGCGGTGGCCCCCGAGTTGAGGCCAGGAACCTCAACTAACAAAGCCCCAGTTCAGGCCGTACTAATTTTTAGGGCCCCAGTAATGCCCACGTCTTCTGGTTTTATCCGGTGCCTGGCCTCAACCATGAAATTCTTGTATTCATCTTTGGGGCAGGTGATTGTGACGGCCGCCGTCTTGGGCGGCTTCGGCTTCACCGCCGCGGCTGCCGTGCCCTTCCTCCTGGGACCGGGGGTCGGTTGGGGAGAGGGTGGTGGTCCTCTCCTCTTCCCCTCCTGCTTCTGTTTCCTCCTCTCCTTTCTACCGACCACTTTGCTCCAAGTTCCCAACCCTACAACATTGGAGACTTGGAGGTTAGTCGTGAGGGGGATTACCTGGGAGCTTTCCATTAGGGCTGTTGTTCGGCCCCTCCTCTCTCCCCCTTGGGCTTCCCCTTCTCCTGATCCGTGACCTGGTCCTTACTGCTTGCTTCTCGGCCCTTCCCTCTGCCCGCTCCAAGGGGATCATCCTTTGCTGCTCGTGATGGTGCCGCCCCGGCCCCTCCTTGGTCTGATGTGACCGATTGCCCGGGCACCTCCCTCCTCTGTACCTAGAGCTCCTTCTCCAGCTGCTCTCCTTTCCTTCTCTCCGCCTGCCTCCTCCTCTGGTCCCTCCTTTTCTCGGCGGAGGTTCTCTTCCTCTCCTTTGCTAGCCTCCTGCTCAGCTCCGCACCCCCTCCCCAGCCGGGAGGGTAGGTACCCCCCTTCCGAGGGAGCCACCGCCCCCCCAGCCGAAGGGGTCGGAGCAGGGGTCGAAGAAACAAGTGCCCGCGTGAGCTCCTCTACGCTCGGCACTCATGATCTTCTGTCGGCCTGGATCTTCCCCCGACAATCGAAGAGATACTCTATCCCTCTTGAGAGGACCCTAAACGCCTCCTTTCCTTCTGGCTTCAGGTTAAGATGCGCAAGATCATCCTCCAATTCCTTCCGCACCCCTTGTATAGGGGGCCTAAAGACTGGAGGGGGGCGTCCGCCGGCATATGTCGTCGTACGACGGGATCACGCCGGTGGGGCCCCCTTTGTCCGCCTCCCCCGCTTAGTTTGAGCTGTCCAGCGTCCTCCGCTGGGCCACCTTCCTCTTCTTCTTCCTCGACGGGCCCGCAGGTACCATTTCCTCTTTCGCCGAAGTTCCACCAGCTGCTTCGGCGTAGGTCTTACTAACGCCCTGCTTCATAGCTGACTTGCCAGCCATTATCCCCCCGGCCCTAATCTTCTCCTCAAGCTCCCTCTTCTCAATTCCGAGGGTCCTAACCTGGTCTCGGAGCCCCTCCATCTCTCTGTTCATCTCAGAGATAGCTCCTTCTTCCCTTTCTATCATCGCTACCCTCGCAATGAGGTGACCATGACCGCCTCCGTGACATCCATGGCCCTTTTTATCAGGCCAATAAACGTCCCCTTAAGGATGTTCGACCTTTTAGCGACGAGCCTCACTACCCCAATGGTTCGGCTCGCCTCCGCAGCCAGCTCCGCCGCTCTGGTTTCCCTCAAAAGCTCCATCGAGGCGGGGTCCTTGTAGACTTTCTCGATAGGACGCACATCCTTTAGAGATCGAAGGGGACCTACCGAGAAGGTCCCTGGTCTCCTTCTCGAGGCGAGCTTCTTTTTCCGTCTTCTTCCTTATATCCTCCTGCTCTTTTTGAGCTGGAGGCCCACCCCCAGACCTGTCGTAGCCGGTCTCCCTCATGTCTCCTTTTTAATGAGCGTAGGAGTCGGCTCCGATCGTACCTCAACCGATACGACCGAGCTCCCGCTCGTTTCCTCCCTTCTCCTCTTTTCCCCGCATTGGTGATAGATGGTGTTGGCCACTTTATTTTTGGCGACGGCAGGCTTAGGCTCGTTGTTTGTGACCTCGTTGTTTTTGGTCTTTTTCGATACGAACCTGCCCGTCAGCCTGTCCCCTACAGGGATTTTGGAACCGTGTGACAGGATAACGTCCGAAAAGACCGTTGGTTTTTTGACGGTTTCTTCCTTACCCGATTCCGCGTTCGTGCTCGCGATACTCCCCCTCTTACTCGAGAGGGGGCCTGGTCTCACGAATTCCGGCGTCGTCTCGGGGAGGTTTTCCCTCGTCCCAGGGACCGGACACGATCCCTCGGTGGGTGGCCGCTCCATAGTGATACGGGAGCTCACCTCCCCCTTCTCCCGGTGGAGGGAGTGTTTCCCGACTAGCGGGGTTCGTCTTCCACTCTGTGTGGCCGCCCTTTTTGCATCTTAACACGAGGGTTCACATGGCGAACTCCTCGGTAGGAGTCACCCTTTCGACGTTGTTATGTCGGGGTTCTTTCTCCATCGCTGAACGGTCGCCTGTTCCTACGTTCGCGCAGGCTCGCCTGGCCAGTCCCGCGGTCGGAACGGCCATTTCGACCTCTACTGTCGCCCTCCGGGACATAATCAGGGTCCGACCCCTCTGAAGAGGGGGAGCCCTTATCCCAAGGAGAGCGACTCCTATTGCTGGAATAGGAGTCTTCGTTTCCAGTGTCCGGCCCGTCGTTGATTGACGACATGGTGGGGGTCGGGTCCACACCCCCGCCACGATGCCTCGCAGTAATCCTGTCAGTACAGGTGCCTGCGGTGCACCCCTGTACCTGCCCGTCGTTTGATGACGACATAGGGAGAGCCGGGACACTACCCTCCCCACGCCGGTTCTCGGGTCCGAATATTGAGATATTCTAAGCAGGAGTCATAATAAAACCATATAGTGCCGGATTGTTACGAGCCCGGCCCACTCGGATTTGAATTCGGTGTTTTTCTTCCCCTAGACCGGCTGCCTTCACCAGGCTAACGAGCCCGCTCCGCCCGCGCTGTGGGAACCTTTGGATAGCATAAGTGCTATCCTCCAGTTCCTAGATAAAACCTGGAGGCAGCTGCCCATCCAGGAGTATTATGGACGCTCTTAGTCTGGCCCCTCCGTACAGACCACTCCGGCATGGTAGGATCTGCCGGGGGCCGAAGCCCCCGCCGGCACAGCTCTCTACTTCATTAGCACACAATCCCCCTCACCACGACAAGGTGACGCCCACGAGAGGGCCTGGTACCACCCCTTGTTGTTCTGGGGCGGGGATGACATACGGGCCTATGGGCCCTCATTTACTGGGAAAAGGCTCGCCATGACCTGTTGTAAGAACCGGGAGTTCTTACAACAGGTCTCCGTAAGCGACGTAAGCGTCTCCATGAGTGGGGGCGCCCATGGTTTCAGTTTCTGCGTCACCATTCTATCCGGGCGCCCCCACGGATCCGCATCCAACGAGAGGAGGAGGGTATCCCACCCTTTTCCTCTGGCCGCCCAAATCGCGTCCTGCAGGGAGGCCGCCGCCAGGCAGAACTCGCCCTTCGGGCGGCCAGAATGACCTCGGGGTCAGAATCAGGGTTATTTTTAACCCGTCTAAAGGTCCGCCTGAGGTAGACCGACTTTCGCCTAAGATCGGCGATAGCATCGGTCCATCATCAGGCGGACTTTTTTGGGCAGGACCTGACTCTGGGCATGGCTACATCGCACGCATGTGCGATTGTTTCCATGATATCCATGATCTCAGAGTCAAGATCTTGCCCTACCATCTGTTGTGACCAGGTAGCAGCCTCCAGGGAGATTTCGAGAGCTTCCCTGTCAAGCTAGTTTAGGGCCCATCGCCCCGGTCGGGGTTCCTTATTCCGACATTGGGGCCGCAGGCTTTCAGGAGTGACGGACAACTCCATTTTAATAATGAAATGTTCAGAAAGAGTCTCACGCTCGTCCGCCACCCTCCAAGACCGTAACCGCCTCAAGGCCGCAGGACAAGCCTACGTAAGATCAATGATCGATTCCCCCTGCGGCCCCGCGAACGTTGACTTGTTCCCTTCGTTTAGCAGGTGCAACTCCAGGCCCGCAGTCCAGTCTTGTACCTCCTCCCCTCGCCTGTCACCCCGCCGGGAACCCCACAACTCCGATTTCGCATTAAAGTCCCCGGCGATGATGACAGGCTCAGGGAGGTACCGCGACGCGGCCCTCCCTGTCTTGGAGCATGGACTTAAAGTTCTGCAAGTCCAGGCTCTTTGTTGAGGGGAGGTAGACCCCGACCACAATCAGGGCTCCCCACCTGGCCACAACAAACCGCCTCCCACTACTCAGCCGGGTAGCAGGAGGTGAGTTTCCACTTGCCCTCCATACTATTGCGACGGAGCCCTGATCGTCCTCGAACCACCTAGAGTGGTTTCTGGGGACTCTATAGAGCTCCGCCGCTCTATATTCTGAGTCCCGCATCGCGCTCTACCATGGTATGCTCGAAGAGCGGCATGGCCTGGCGAGCGCGGTGCAGGTTGGATTGGAATAGGCTTGTGTCCATTATAAGTGGATGAGTAATTTTTCTACCGGCTCCTCCCCGTCCTCACTCCCGCTTTCCTCTATCTGCCGAGAACGTTTCTCCCCTCTTCTCTCCACCTCCATTTCTTCAGTCTCCTCTTGTGGTATCACTGCGGAGGAGGCTGGATCCACCGAATTCAGTGGAAGTGATAAGGGCTCCTCAGCCTTCTCTTTTTCCTTCGCATCCACAAGAGGGGAGGGGGTGCGGGTGGCACCGGTGCGGATGCCCCCGTTTCCCTCCCCTCAACCCTCTTTTCTTTTCTCCTTTCTTTGGGGGGTGACACGCTGGTCACCCGATATGATGGCCTGCTGGTTGTCCCGCCTCGGCACAAAGTTGACATCTTGCCGAGGCAGTATAATCACGGGCCAAATGTCCCGTTGCACCACACCTGTAAGTACAGTTTGACCTTTTATCGGCTCCACCGTTTTGTTGTATATGTTCTCTTTCCAGGCACCTATAACTTTGCAACGGTCTTGCTTTTAGAAGGTCCACCCTCACCTGCATCCAATCTATGGACAGTTTCCCCCTTTCTATCACTTTTTTCGCGGCTATTAGGGGACATCTGATCCACAGGGATCTGGAACCGGGCGATATGGCTCTTATTTTCCCTGTTTGGATTTCGGCCACTTCATACCCACCAACCTTCGCCACACATTCCGCAGCCTC